GGGGCTGGAGGGAGGGACCAGCGGGTGCCGAAGGGGAAGCCAGTAACTCAGAACAAGGGTAAGCCCAGATGCAGAACTTAAGAATGGGAGTGGTCAAAAAGTTTGGGGTGAGTAGTCTGTAGAGATGAAGACCGTTGAACGTTTGGAAGCAGAAAAGAATAGCCATGATGCTTTGATAATGTTGGAGCAGATAAAGCATGAAGTATATGCTAGAAAGCTTTCTGTGAAAAGTTTAGGGTGTTCTCCTGTATGCTTTAGGCTTCCCCAAGCTGTGGGGGGAAACTTCCTTACCCCATTATGGTGAGAGAGGCATGAAAGTTGACTAATACTTATATTTTATTTCCTAGAATGCCTTTCCAGTTTCTGGACAGCTGTATACTGTCCATCTGCTGTCTCTGGAAGCATTGCTGACAGTGATAGATAGCACTGAGGCACATTGCCAGGCCAAAGTACTGAGTAATATACATCAACAAGAGAAGGAAGTTGTCAAATCCAGCCCAGAAACCATGAACAACACCAAAGAAACGAGCCATAGTAAGACCTCTTTCTTTGATGTTTTGATATTAAGCTTAGTCTTGTGCCAAACTTGCAGATCTCATTTTGGTAGCTGACAAAGTAAGCTCCTTAAATCCATGTTTTCAGTCTTCCTGTTGCATGTTTTATAACTACACACTGATGTTAACAACCTTGCTATTTGTAAAAATTACAGATACTAAAATGTGCCCCTCATGTGAGGCTTTATATAAAGACCATGTCAAGACTGGCAGTCACAACAGAAGGAGGCTATAGCATGGAATTCATGTAGGCAAAATACTGAGGATACTGGAATCTCAGTTACTGAGGGGAACTCCTTTGAATAAGCACATGTTCAGCTTAGAGTGATCAGTTCATAATTTCTCTGTTGCTACCTTTGGCCTTGGCTTATTGGTTTGTTTATGTATGGGTTTTGGTTGTGTGGGGTTTTTTTTTTTCTTTTTTTAACTTCTACAGATAATGAGAGAGTACTCAGTGAGGGAAAATCTTCCAGTACAGTCTCGGAGACAGCTGGGGCATGTCCTCCCACCAGTGGGTGCCTTATGGCTGACCAGATGAAGGAGGGCTGCATGGAATTGGAAGGAGGAAGCGAGGCAGGTAATAGTCTCTGTGGTACCCTGACACTCTGAGTGTGTATGTGCTGAGAATGGTCCTGACATTTGCTGACTGGTCTTGCTATACTATAGACCACTGTAGCTATTGTGTGTTCAAAATTAGAAGGAGGTATGTGGTGAATATTTGTTTATTATATGTGTGCTATACATGCCTACTAACAGTTGCATTTCTTCTGGGAGGGGGATAGATCTGGTGGGTCACTTTGGGGCAGAAGTGTGTGAAATTCGTACCAGTGCTTAGTATTTTTAAGGTAGCCAGGGGCTTTCCAGGGAATCCGTAATGTAAGCAGTCAAAATAGCCAGAAAATTAAATCTTGTGGATGTGTGAAATTGTCCAGGACGAGAAGTTACTATGCAATTATGCTGAAGAAAATGTGGGTGGGAGGAATGTAGTAATTGAACAGTAGGAGTGTCACTGCCATTTGCAGGGCAGCACATTGCAGCAAGACTCCGTGACTGAAAGTTATGATGGGACACTACTGTGGGCTGAGTGCTACTCTGGGGATAGGTTTGAATGTAATGATGCTTTGTCCTTCCAGCTGAGAAGAGTATCCCCAGGAAACCTACTCGATTTTCTTGTATCCTTCCGAGCCCTCAGGAACTTATGCAGATTAAGAACAAAAAGAAGGTATGATTTAGAATATACTACAAATGGATCTTTTGAGTGTTCACCTTGTTTCCCATCCCATGTGGGCTTTGCATGATTGGTCATATCTCAGAAATTTTGAGTTCTAGTCTCTGCTGGTAAGAATTAAATAGTCACTGAAAATCCTGCTACACTGCAGAGACAGCAGCGATTATTACCTGTTCTGGTTAAGTTGTGCTAAAAGTTGCAAGAGGTGTTGGGGCAGTTTTGTGGCACAGTTTGTAAGCTAGGCCTATCTGATTTCTGGGTGGGAAAGCTGCTGGATCTAGTTTGTATTATATGGAGATAATCGGGTACTTTCATCAAAAAGGGCAGGTTCCCTACTATTACCAAAGCTGTAAATGGGGACCGTACCAAGAGGCCCATAGTAGAAACTAAGAGTCTAGCCTGCTGTTCTGATTTGTTTACTCCTGTGTTTGCTTTATCATAAGGATGACTGAAAAGATTGTCTTGATTGTGGCTAAGCCATTCTTTGTCTAGATGTCTGTTTCTCTGAACCTTATTAATCCAATTTACAGTCTAAACTTTGTACAGCTTTTCCATTCCTGAAGTCGTTTGAGTCTAGGTCTAGTGCTGACAAAGGTGCACCATGCTGATGGCTTTGTATTTATCTGCTGTCTTGTGTCAAACATCAAGTACTGGCCTGCTTGTTCATCTCCAGAGACAGCGGATGAATATGATAGCTAAAGTCCCTATGGATTACATGGGACTGTTTTTTTTAGTTGGGTTTTTTGTTTGTCTTCATTCACAGGTGTTCTTTTTACAGACTTTGTTCTCTTTGCACAGTATATATGTGAGGTAGTTAGGTTATCTAGGAAATCACAGTTTACTAAATTTCAATACGAAAATGACACATTCTGTATGAACATGGGTGGCCATAGTAGTTGTGTGTTAAGGAGCCAGATGATCTAGTAGAAAAAGAAATTAATGCCTTTTGATGATTATTGGTAGTAAAGAGAAAGGGTTTTGAATTGTACCTGGCTAAAAGGCTTCTGACCTCTCTCCAGCATAGGTGTTTTTATTTTACATTATTATAAGGGAATGGTGGTCATATTTGTTTAAGCTTACTTAAACAAAAATACCGAAGAAAGTACAACAGATCTCTTTCTACTGCCATACTAACCTGTGCTTTGTGAGCCACTCTGGCAGTCTCTTGATCTGAAGTTAATTTAAGGCATTGGTTTCTCTCTAGGAAGTCTGCTTCAGTACTTAGGAACTTGGTTCTTTACCTACAACACAGTGTTGCAGTGGGATAACGCTAACAAGAACAGTGGGGAGAAGTGATTGTCAGCACAGTCTTCAAAGGAATGACTGAGTTTTGGCATTAGCTAATTTCTAAGAAATTAATATTGATTTTTAGTTAGTTTCATTTATAACCCTTTGGTTTGCATTAAATCTAGCCTTCATGGCAGCTTTGCTGATGGACTTTTGTGAAAGTCTGTTCTTGAGAAGGGAGCTTGCATAGTGCCTCCACTGTTCTAGTTGAAAACCTCAGATAATACTCCAGCGTTAATGCGCTGGAAAACAAGGCTAGAAGAAATCAAGAGCATTGCCAGTGGCTGAGAGTTCCTTAAAGAAAGTTCCAGGTGGTCCTAGAAAAAGGGCAAAGCCTTACACTATAGCAGAGGGCACAAAGATGTTCATAAATCTCTGTTAGTTTGCCCAGGGAAAATACTTTCCTGACCCTAAACCTGCTAATGGTTTCGTCCTGAGCATGTAAACAGGGCACACAAAACATTCGCCTTAAGTAATGTAGATGCCGACATGGCACCAGCATGTTCTGCTTCCTTTAACCTCTGAAGTACTAAATATTACCACAGCTAGAAGGAGGAAAAAAAGCTAAATAAAAGCAGAAAACAAATTATGTATCAAATGGAGAGCTTGCTTTGATGTTTCCAAAGGCAATGACCAGAAGCTCAGAAGCATAGGGCTGACATGATTATAAATGCAGTGCAAACTGCCAGCAGTCTGACCTCCTTTCAGGTGGTCTTAAGAAGTATAACCAGTCCGTAGAATACCCTAGGGCTTGGGTTACAGGATTTACAGCTGAACAGAAATGCTGCTAGTGTCACACAGTCCCTTCAGGCCTGTTATACCAAGGCAGCACATGGTTATTATTTTTTTATGCCCTCACTGGGTCCTTGTGCACTCCAGTCTATTTCAGGATCTGTGTTTCACTGCAATTTGAGGATGTTCACACAGGCAGGGGAAGCAGAGAACAGAGGGCTGGTGGCTTTTGAGGTACTGAGAAACCCAGGGGAGCTAGTAATCATGATGGTCACGAATTTAGTTCACTAGGTCATTGCTAGCAGTTTGATCGTGATAGGAGCTAACAGGGAACTGACATTTATTCTGGTGCCTTAGTAAAGTTCATACAGTTGTTTGTGCTTTTGGTTTTTCTGAACACCACCAAGAACATTCAGTTAACCCTTTCTTAGTCAGGTGTTTTATTACACTGTGACTGTGGCACAGTCTAGTTTCTTAAAATCAAGCAGGGCAGAGTAGTTGACTTCCCTTCAAAATGAAAAATATACTTGCTCTTCCCAGCCTACAGATAGCCTCTTCATGCTGGAATACCAGCTGTTTCTGGGACCATGTTTCTCTAGCAGAATGTTTTCTGGTTTTTAGTTTGAGCTTTTGCAACACTTCTTCCTTGTGCCTGCTGAATAGGTGCCAAGGATTCTTGCTGCATGTCTTGTGGCAGTGAGGCAGAGTACAAGAACCTGAAGCCAAAGGGGACAGAAGAGGGCATGGAGCAGTGCTGCTGTTATGACTTGGTAGAGTTGATCTTGCCCCATGTTCATCAGAAACCTTCCTCTGCTCTGTTTACATACTAGAGCAGGTGAGGCATTTGTAGCAGAGCTAATTGCTTGGTGAAGTGTCAGAGCTTTTCAGAGACGGCAGCTTATGCTTGCTCTGTCCAGTATTACTTGATAGTGAATCCTTGTGATGAATGCAGGTTTTCAGCCTTGGTTAGCCTTCTTGCTGGATTACGCAGTACAATAAACTTGATCATGCTGAGATTGATCTATTTTTTAATTTGCTTTTGGTTCAAATGCCAAGAACAATCTAAAGTAAGGAATGCACTTCAAGCTTGTAATTATCAGAATGTCTCTTTCAGCTCCTGATAACCGGCACAGAGCAGTTCAACCAAAAGCCAAAGAAAGGGATACAGTTTCTGCAGGAGAAGAACCTTCTTGCCACTCCCATTGACAACAATGAGGTGGCCAGGTGGCTACGGGAAAATCCTCGCCTGGACAAAAAGATGATTGGGGAATTTGTGAGTGACCGTAAGAACATAGACTTGCTGGAAAGCTTTGTTGGGCAAGTATCTTTCTGTATCTCTTTTAAATAGAAAGGGGTGAAAGTTAAAGAGTTCAGTGATTAAAAAGGCAGTAGAACAGTAGCTCCTGGAGGCATTGGACTTGGTTCTTTGTGTACCATCATGCCTTAATTCTCTACATCTCTTGCATATGGTGACATCTTAGATACATATAATAGTATGATACTAAAGTTCCTTTCAGTAGGGCCAGTCTCTGCGAAGACTGGAGGGATGATTACATACATAATCACCTGTAAGATTGTTGACTCTCTGTCACGAATGAGTGGTTGGGGTTAAAGAGTCACCACCAAAGATATTAGAAAGCAAATTATTTTAATATAGATTTGTAAAAAGGTATGACTTAATAGAATTCGATGGCAAGGTTCACTCTGTTACTCACTTAGCATGAAAAAGTATACAAAGAGAAACCAAGTTACAATTAGATTGGAATGATTTGCTTGTGGATCAAATTGGGTTAATGTGGCTTATGTATATTGAGGAGAGAAAGTAGGGGAGACCTTCCTGTTGAGTCACAAGGCTCAGACTGGACCGAAATCCATCCCTAGTCACAGACTTGGTCAATGGTTTATGACTAAGATTAGGTAAGTAAAGGAATGCCCTCCCGTTGAGTCACAAGGTTCAGAGTGGATCCCCTTGCTTTCTAGACTCCTTCTCAGAGAGGAGTCTACAGGCTGCTGAATCCACTCCTAGTCCCAGACTTGGTCAACAGTTTATGACTAAAGGAGTAGGGTATCTGGGATTCTGGTGCAGTGCTTGGTGTAACTTCAAAATGACAGCAATCAAATTCACTAACGCTATTGAGATAAATCACAATATCAAATCATATGTAACTTAGTAACATAACAACGAACACATCCATTTCCAATATACACCAGTACACTCTCTTTTATTGTTTTTTGCCTGTTCATGGTATATTTCTTCTCTCCTCACCCTCCCCTCTTTACTGTCTGTTCTCTGTGAAATCTGGTGTTCTGATGCTGAAACAAACAAGATTGTAGTCAGTAAGTTTATCCTACCTTTTCCATCCTGTTTCAGTTTTTCGTTGCATTTCATTCTTTTTGCAGGACTTTCAGCTTCCAGGGTTTAAGGCTGGATGAAGCTTTACGACTTTATCTAGAGGCCTTCAGATTACCAGGAGAGGCACCTGTAATCCAGAGGCTGTTGGAAGCCTTCACAGAACATTGGAGGGTGTGTACTTGGTGGGCAGAAAGCTCAAAACTGCATTCTTGTGCATCTGCTTGCCATGATAGACATGTCAGATCAAACTGCCTGTGTAAGCTTACTGTGCCCTGCAGGCAGGAGCTTGTTGTTTTGCAGATGGCAGTGACACATAGATTTCTGGGGTGCTTTTTGGAAGCTGGAGCCAGAACCTGGGGTTTTTGTTTGCCCCAGAGATGATTTAGTACTGTGGGTAGGAAAATGGCTGTCTTGGGTCACTGATACTGCTATTACTGTAGGACTAATTTGTGCATACATTTGCCTTTCAGAAATCAAATGGGTCCCCATTTGCCAATAGCGATGCCTGCTTTGCCCTGGCCTATGCAGTTATTATGTTGAACACTGACCAGCACAACCATAATGTCCGCAAGCAGAATGTCCCAATGACTCTAGAGGTGAGTGTTACCAGTGTAGGCACCTGTCTTCTCTGGTTTTGATAGCAACGTAGTACCAGTTTTTATCTCAATGATACTCTCTTTTTTCCCTGGCATTCATCACTCATGTATACAATAAGCTGGTGTGCAGTACTGAAATTGAGTGCAGTTGGAGAGGGGAGCTGTGCGAAAGGGGCAGTATGAAGAACTGTGAGCTTAGCAGAAAGCTTTCCAAGTTTGTCAAGAGGCTTGCCTGTGCATGAGCAAACTGTATCCTAAGATATAAGTAAGAATGAGAAGATCGTTGAACTGCTGTGGGCTTCTAGAGAGTTCAAGTCCTGTGAGTGTCAGTGTGGTGGTACAGTGATGTCCAGCCTCAGCTAAGCATGTGTAATGTTGTGTCTCTCTTCTTTCCTTATGACAAGAGACAGGAGTTGCTGCACGCTACTGCCACTAAGAATAGCATTTAGTCTTTGAACTTTGAGGCTGCATGTTGAAGAACACAGGAAAATCTCCTAGTCCCATGAAAAAGTAATGGAGTACTGACCCTAGCCAAGCAGTTAAAGCTGGAGGTACTAGGAATTAACGTTGGTGTAACTTTTTTCAGGAGTTTCGGAAGAACCTGAAAGGTGTGAATGGAGGCAAAGACTTTGAACAGGACATATTGGAAGACATGTACCATGCTATCAAGTAAGAATCAACCTGTCATCTCCTTGTATGCAGAGAGCAAACTAGAGTTGTTTTGTCTGTGAGACCTCTGGAGAGTACGGAGAGACACTCACTGATCATGTGCCTGTTTGCCTCAGACCAAATTCCAGCTCCATGTGGGGCTGTGGTAACAAGCCTGTCACAGTGATTGCACTGGATTTGTATCTTTGGGTTCTTGCCATGGTATTTTAATCCACAGAGCTTAAGCTAAAGTTAAAAAATACGTTACTTCTATCAACATGCGAAAGAATGGCTGAGCAAGACCAGCACATGTGAAATGCTCTATCTAAGAAGGCTCTGTTCTCCACACCAGGCCTGTAGACTTCTTTAGAACTTTTTATGTAGTGCTAGAAATAGTATCTCATACCCAGGACAGCACTAGTGCCCTGATATGTGTCCAGGTCTCAGTTTCATATGTTCTGTTTTGAGCTCTTCATATGAAGCTGCTGTCTGCACCAATCTTTTCTGCCACCCCTGAAGTTCTTGGCACAGTGACCAATATTTGAGAATTCCTGGTAGCTGAGGCTCTTTTGTGCACACACTAGCTCTGGGTGGGCAGCTTTAATAATAGCTCAGAAATCTAGCCTATCAGTAAATCCAGGCCCAGCCAATTTGAAGCTGAGAGGATTATATCTCTGAGGAGACAGGATGTGACTCTGACTCTCAGCTGGTTTCAATCTGCAGTGGCTCAGGCTGGAAGCAGGGCAGTGGGATTAGTCTGACCCTCCCTTCCAAGCCTTTGCTGGGAAGATAGGTATGTCACCTGTACTTAATATCTAGAAATTCTTCAAGATGTAGCTCTAGCTTTCAAGCAGAGCTCTAGTTTTGATTGTCTTCTCTCCCCTGAGGGTGTTCTTAATGTTTTGAGTAGTACCCTGAGAATATCATTATACCTTTCAGTTATCTAATGCTTCTGTCCCAGTCTATTTGCCTTTATCATCCTTTCACCAGATACTTCAGCTCTTTCAGTATGTTCTATGGCTAAAACAATTGGTGTATCATTTCAGTATTGCTCCATCTCAGATAGGTTGCCTGTGTCATAGCTGAGATTGAGGAACTGTTTGTTTTCTTTGTGTTATTAGGGGGGGAAGAAAGCAGACTGTAATCTGTACGGAGTAGCACATGATCTCTTCAGGATCTCAGCATTTCACTTTTGAGCACAATTTCATTTCCTGAGACTTTCCAAATAAACCCATTCACTTGCTTCTGTTCATATTAATCAAATACGGGTTCTTAGAAAAAATGTGCTATTGACTGCAAACGTATTTTTCTATATAATCTCAGTAATGATTTGTCATGTCAAAATATGCAGGTACCTGAAACTGAGAAGAGCTTATTTCTTATGCATAGATCAAGAGGGTTTTTTACAGTTATTGTTAGCACATGAAAATTGCTCCTTTGGCAACTGACAGACATTATTTTTTCATTGTTTCAGAAAGACCTCTACTTTTCAGATTGGCTGCAATCTACTGTTCTTAGTAGATTTGAGACTCTTGTTCTATTAGTTGGTCATTTGCAGAGGGTTATCTCTTGTGCAATGTTACCCAAATCTAGGGAGTATGTATTTAGACTTGATGTATTTTAACCTGGGATTGCAAGTGCTACTTGGTATTAATCATAATTGTTTTATACTTGTATAGCTTTAATCCAGTTAGAGTAAGGAGCTGTGGTACTCTGGTTATGAATCACCCATCATACATTTGGTTTCTTGTTTTATCTTCAATTTTGTACTACTTGGCTTTCTGATATTTGATTTTTGGCATAATATGAATATATGCATTATTCTTATACAAATATACATTATTCTTATACAAAGGTACTACAAAGGTACTCATGCCTACTGTTGCCTGCAGTAGCATAACAATTTTAATTTTTTTTTTATCTGGGAGTAATGAGATATGCAGAGCAGTCTAACTGGGTGGGAGTTGGGATGGGGGAATGAAGCTATGCCAGTGTGCTGTCCGAAATTTCCCATCATTTAACTGCAGTATGTGTTGCATTTCCCGCTACGGTGTTGGGTAGCTGTTTCTTCAATGCTATCCTTACACAATTGCTGCTGGGTGCTGCTGAGAGTCACCAGACTTAATATCCAGGATACCAAAGGGGGTCAGGGGAAGCAGGCAGGCCTAAGAAAATAGAATGTTTCAGGAGCTGGCAAAATCATTCCAGAGTAGGTAGTGTTTAGCTTTGGGACCATGTAATGAAAGGCACTGTGTAAATGTTAGGTTTGGCTCAGGATGAAAAATTCAACCTTTCTGCCTTCCTCCCTTGTAGAAATGATGAGATAGTGATGCCAGAAGAACAGACGGGCCTAGTGAAGGAAAACTATATCTGGAATGTCCTGCTACATCGTGGTGCCACTGATGAGGGAATATTTCTCCATGTGCCTCCTGGAAGCTATGACCACGATCTCTTTGCCATGACATGGGGGCCAACCATTGCAGCACTTTCGTATGTTTTTGACAAGAGCCTAGAAGAAACAATCATCCAGAAGGCTATCTCTGGTTTCAGGTAACTCTTGCATTCATGAAGAGAATGAGAACTCTTCAGAAGAGTTGAAGTGTGGCCGTTGTCTCCCATTTACTTGCTAGAGACATCACAGTGAATATCAACTGTTGCTTTTCCTAGCAATTGAAGAGCATTTTATTGTGACCTGTGGTCCTCTAGTTTTGTTCTATCATTTGTATTGATTCATCCCATCTTGGCCTCAGTTGCCACTCGCTGTTTGGCTTGACCGCTGTGTTGTAATAAATCAAAGTGCCTGGGGTATGTATTTTTAAACTCCAACCTGGTTACACTTAACAGACCTGCTGACATAGCTGTGCTGCTTAGAAGTGAGGTGAAAAAGTCACTCAACTTGCACAATGATGCTGGCAAAATCCCTGTATATGAACAAAACCTCTCATGTATAAGGCCATAGCTGTGGCTGAATGGGATGGAGGATTTTTTTTTTTTCCCAGATGACCAGTATTCAAAAAACTTGCTGTCTGTGAAAAACTGTATTGGAACAATCTTTGGTCATGCTTAGATCCAGACCAAATGATGCCTTAAGCATAGTTTTAAATCTCTGTTAATACACTGCTGTAGCCATGATGCCTTGGAAACAGACCTTCAACACTACTGCCAATCTCAGCAACTCTCTCTTATGTCAAGACAGGAGATTAGGTATATTGGCTCATGAGCAAGTGGTCTGTCTGTTTAGACTCCCTTTTTGAAAGTGATCCTTGCATCAGCACAGACAAATACCAAGATCTGTGGATGAGGATTGAGGTTATTTGAGGGATAATAGTAGACTTCTATACATCAGCATTCATTATGAGTGGGTGGAGAGGAAGGTCTAAAATGTCAACAGAGAGGCTCTCTGATTTGCTGTCCTGTAGACAGACTTGTCTGTGCTGACTTGCTACATTATTTTCTGCTTTATTCTTTCCCCAGGAAATGTGCAATGATTTCTGCTCACTATGGCCTTAGTGATGTGTTTGACAATCTCATAATTTCTCTCTGCAAGTTTACAGCCCTCAGCAGCGAGGTAAGTTTGCAAGGAGAGGAAAGCAGCATGGCTTCTATCAGAGCTTTCTTCCTCTGTTAAGCAGTAAAATTTGCTTATTTTATTTATAACAGTATCTGTAGATATCTATCAGCCCCTGCCCAGAGTTTTCTGGAGGAGGAAATGAAAAGTGTGTAGTGAAGTAGGACTTCCATAGGACAGGTTCAATTACACAGATATCCTTCTACTCACTCATAAGTGACAGTTTGTGCAGAGCAGAATTCCATGATGTGGAAGTGTTTATTCCACCTACTTGATTTGAGGAGACATAGATCTCCCTGTGATCAAGACAGCAATCATCCATGATCCCAAGCAAATTTAAGCATTTCAGCTATTGAATATTTAGGTACAGGGCTTATGTGGTGCCAAGAGGGACTGTTTTGTGAGCTGTTCTTCCAAAGTGTAGGGGCTGTGCATCCACCCAGCATTAAGGGGTTAGAAAAGCAAATGCTTTAAATTGTCAGTTGGTGTGTGGAGTCTGGTAATAAGATTGGCTGTTAGCCCCACTTTTGGCAATCCCTAAAGACCATTTCCATGGATTGTACTGTGAGAATAAATTCAAGGTGTAGTGGTTGGTGTAAGTTTTTTTTGCCCAAATCTGTTTGTGTGTTACAGCATCAGCCTGTTTTTCCCCAAGGTGTTTGATAGACAGTGTGTGGCAGACCATGCTTTGTCCTAAGAAGATGACAACAGCAACTCCTTTAAAGGGTCAGAACTTGCAAAGAATCTCAGGGTATTGCTCTGAGAACCAGTGCAAGACCCACAGTGAGCCGAATAGAATTGCCGCACATACAAAAAAGGGAAACAAAATTGTTCAAGACTGAAAGCATGCGAGTAAAAAGGCCAAGACAGGTGATTTTTTTTTTTTTAAAATACCTTGAAGGGATAGCAGAAAGGGAGCAGTCCTGCAAACAGTATTGTTTGGACTGGGTGTTTTGTATCACTTGCATTCTGGCATTGGTAGCAGTGAAAAAGTACCAACTTGAGTAATAAAAGACAAAGAAATCCCAAGCGGTGGGGTTGCTTTAGATTCCCTCTTCCTCCACAGCTCACAACTGTAAAGATGAAATACTTGATCCTCTCCAGGCATACCAGACCTCAAGACTACCAATAGATAACACAAGCAGAGGAATGTCTGCCATGAAACAACTGTTTGACACAGATTTACACAGTAGAAACAACTAGACTAAGCCCTCAGAGGCACCAGCTATTGCCAGCTGCATCCCATCTAGTTGTGAGACTGGAATCTGGAGCAGCCTGAGGTCTGTGTAAATTAAGCAAGTATGTCTTTTGGTGATGACGTAGAATCAGAGACTTCTGGATTTGAAGAAGGCTGTGATTTCTTATCTTTGGCCAGATTCCAAGTACACCAATTACTTTCTGCTGTCCTAAATTCCTGTAAGGCTTGGAGACAGTAGTGGGATATGACAACTGAACAAATATTTGAGAGACATTCTGGTGGAAGGGGAGAAGGAGGGGCTCTCTTCAGGGGCTGAGGAGGCAAAACAAAGAACAACTGTTAGAAAGCAAGGGAAGTATCACTTAGCTGCTAGTCACTTCCCAGGTCAGATAGTCCTGGTGATCAGGCATCCTCTCAAAGCACTGCAATTGCTATGCATGGCCACTTTAGTTGCAAGAAGAGGAATGTAAAGGAACATGGAGGGGGATTAAGTGATTTAAGAAGAGTGAGTGCCCCACTTCTTGATCCAGAGTTAAGACTCATACTGTCTCAGTGTATAAGTAGCGGCAAAACCTGTGTGTGTGTTAATTCAGTGGTTGTGGCTTGTTGCCCCAGTGCAAAATCAGGCATATTGCTGTTTGTACTCTGACACTTCAGTGGTATATGTATTCCTGTGGTTTCCCCATAGCAACAATGGAAAAAACAAATCAGTTGTCACATCTCTTGCCAGAATTCCAGATTGGTGCTTCAAGTGGAGTTCACCTCTAGATCAAAGACCCGTTTTGATAATAGTTTTGCCGCAGTCTGGCTGAAGCAAGAGCTAGTTTCTCTGAACTTCAGGTCTGAGATTGGAAGAGACACATTTTCAATCCATCGTATCTCCTGTCTTCTCTCTCCTTTCTTGATGAAGGAGTAAGCATGGGTTTTGTCCACGTAAGCAAGAGAATGGCAAAGCCCATCTCTTGTCAAAAGGGACATTGCAATGACCTTAAGTAACTGCAGAAACATGGAACATGTTACAGTGTCTGATACTAGCTCACATGGTTGCTGTTTTTTCTTTTTTTTGGCAGCATATACTTGGTTGGTTTAAATGATGTAGCACACTTTTTGTATTTTGAAAAGCTGTGAGTGTGTTGAACAGATTATGAGGAATTGTGATCGAGCAATTATTGGCAGAGACTGTACGTTAGGGTTCATCACTCTTACTTTGAATCTTGCTGTTAAGTAGTGGTAGGAGTAGGTGAGCAAGTCAGTAATGCTTTTGGCTATAGTTTCCCTCTCTAACAGTAGAGCGGAGTAATTGCTGCTTCCAGAGGAGACATGGTACTTCCTGTAGAAGGCTTTGATCCTGGAATGAGTTCCCATAGCAGAATAAATTAGTGTTAGTAAGTTTTCAGCAAGCATTTTCAAAAGGTGCTGTATTGTTGTTGTTCTTGGAGAGCTTATGTCTAGGTGGTTCAGTGATTCAGCTTGTATCAGGTAGGCTGTCTTGTCCTTGTTTTTGTGCAAAGTGAATATGAGCTGCGGAGTTATCCAAGCATCGTACACAGAATTGTTGTCTTTCCTGTGACCAGTTCTGAACAGTCTGCCCTAATTTGTGTTGAAAAGAAAACATCTCTTGCTGACTGATTGCCACCCCCTCTTCTTCCCTGCAGTCTATTGAGAACCTGCCCACTGTTTTTGGAAGTAATCCCAAGGCCCATATTGCAGCAAAGACTGTGTTTCACTTGGCCCATCGCCATGGTGACATTCTGCGGGAGGGCTGGAAAAACATCATGGAGGCCATGCTACAGCTTTTCCGAGCAGAGCTGCTGCCCAAGGCCATGGTGGAGGTAATAATAGGCGGCTGGTGGGTAATTGAAGTGGGAAGCTGGCTTTTCATAGAACGAGTTCTCGAAGAGCAGGAGAGCTCTCCAGCAAAGGCCTGGCTTTGGTAAAGTGCATACAGAGCTAGAAAGCCTACAAAGGGTTTAGTGTTCAAGTTATGTGCAGGCTTCAGCTTCTTTTGCAAGATTTAATTTTTTTCTCATTTTACTTTTTGCTGGATTTGAGAAATTTCAGTGTTCATTTTCCTTGAACAGATTTTGAATATCGTGCAGAAGAGGGATATGCTTATAGGCACAAAGTATTAGAGCGGGGCATTAGTATTGCCAGCTGGGGGTGACACTTTATTGAAAGGATGAGAGGATGAAGAGCTGGGGTTGACTGCCTACACAAGGTGGGTTGGGTATAGTGTTTCATTACTAAGTGAAACATTGAGGGGAAAGGCTACAAAGAAGTAGACAATAGATCATGGACATGTTCTGGTCTGTCTTCCAGGTTGAAGACTTTGTGGATCCTAATGGCAAAATCTATCTGCAACGTGAGGAGACGCCATCTAACCGGTGAGTGTTGTAGATGCCTCCAGGCAGTCCTTTTTGTACCAAAGCTGGTGAGTAGTGTGATTTCTTATTTTCTCACTGATGCCAGTGTCTTCTGATTTGCAGTGGTGAATCTACAGTGCTGAGTTTTGTTAGTTGGCTCACTCTCAGTGGGACAGAGCAATCTGGTATGAGAGGGCCATCTACAGAGACACAGGAGGCAAAGCGATCAGCTCTGGAATGCATAAAGGTAACATACAGACTGTAAAAGAACCTGCTTTTGTTTGTGGTGACAGTACTGTGTGGATAACAGGCAACAGAAGCATAAACATGCATGCTTCTAGGCAGTATTGCAGGTTTCAGAGGACTTGTGAATTGTAAGAAACTGCAGAGTAGCATATCTGCATTGACAGCTAAAGGGTCTTATGTGCTGTTACGTACAAATGTAGTAACACATGAAAACAGGAACGATTCACCACAAGAGGCTGGGATCTGCCCTTGGTGTCACAGTCCTATAACTGAAGAGAAATTACTAAATTCTCAAATGACTAATCTTTTCCAAGTCAGTGTTAAGGCATATGGGGCCAACAAAATCTAAACCTGGGGTTTGAGCAGTGTGTGGACAAAGGAGTTATCTGTTAAAATCTGTCTAGCACAGATCAGGTCTGTTAAAGGTAGCTGATGTTAAAGGAGTGAACTAGCTGGCAGCAGTTTTCCTCCAGGGAATTGTGTTAAAACCACTATCTATATCTTTCCTGGGAACAAGCTGTGTTTCTGGAGGATCTGTTTGTGTGCTTTTCCCATTCCCCAGATGCCCAGTCCTCTTTTCTGTCTTTTGCAGCACTGTGATCCTGAAAAGTTGATCACAGAAAGCAAATTCCTCCAACTTGAATCCCTCCAGGAGCTCATGAAGGTGAGAGAGATACTGGGTAAGGGGTTGGACTAGTGATGGAACAAGTATGCTATGCATGATCATAGATATGTACCGTGTACTTGCCTAGCTCCTCTATCCCCAAAGGAGGTCTTGGACCTGTTTGGGATTTGAAACGAGTCATTAGCTCAGCTGTTACATATAACTTCTGTGCTGGCAGCCACAATTACTTGAGTAGTAGAGGAAGACGTTAAATTGTGGAATGCATTCTAAAAGCCTTGAGGAGGTCATGGTAAGTGTTTGAAAATATGTGTAGGTCTGTGTAGGAGCTTAAGGTTATGCTTTTTCATCTTTTCTGGTGTGCCTAATGAAAAGATTCTAAAAGGCCACTTCAGAGGCAAGAGCTGTACAGAAATATTTGACTATGTGCCCCTAGGTAGCACGGTACCTGGCTGCTGTGGGAGAGGTAATAAGGCTGGATTCACTAGCCTTTGGGCTGGAGAAGCTCATCTCCCTGGGGGAGGGTAGTTACTTACCTGATTCTGATAGCGGCTTCTCAGGTTAGCATGGAGTTTGAGACCACTCTAGGATGTGGAACAAATCTGGCTGCTGCTCACCATTTCCAAAAGCAAATAGTGCAGTGCAACCCTTGCACGGATGCTGTGTGGGCTGGCAGTGTGTGTTGCCTAATTCCATGGCTCCTTAAAGTGCAAGTGTCTTTCCTTTCAGGTTGCTGTAATTGCAATTCACTGGCTTCATCAGTAGGGCACATGACACTACTGAGACTTGTGCTAGAACAAAGGAAAGGTTTCTTTATCAAGGCTTGCTGCAGAGGTTCAGAAGAGTAGGTATTGAGTTTCAAAATAAAGACACGAAGTGAGTAAACCCCAAAGAACAACACTTAAAACAGCTAAAGCAGAACTTGCTGTTTGGAGCACACAAAGACCACTATGTTGCTGGCCCATGTGGAGAAGTGGGGACTCAGTTTTTCTGTGTCATCTCAGTTCTGGGGGAATTTGCTCTTACCCCTATTATGTCAGGAATTCTGTCTTCACATGCAAGCTGATGGCTTGAAAGGAATAGTTCCAGTATTTGTAGTCATTCCTAGGTATGTCTGCCTCTTCTGTGCTTCACATATTCTTAGCAAGTAGCTGCTGGCTTTCAGAATTCCTCTCCATCTGAGAGACTTCATCAGAATTTAACATCTTTTAAGTTCATCTTTAATA